GGGCCTTGGAGTTCGAGTTACCTTCAGTGGACACTCCTGTGTGCCAGGCTCTGGAGGGGTGTGTGCAGAGCGGGTAGAGCCAGGATCTGGGTGAATGTCATGGGCAGGATGCCTCAAGGTCAGGTGGAGTTAGGACTCACACGAATGAAGTAGCAGGGATTGGGGAGGGCATGAAACCAGAATTCCAGGCAATAGTTAGGGACCCAGAAGTTTATAGGAGCCAAAGAGTAATAGGAAACAGCTCTGGCAATCAAGCAGCCCCAGAAATTTGAAGCTGTGTCACATCATGCCTCATAGCCAGAATTATGACCAGATTACTTGTGGGAGATAGGAGCCAGGTCCCACCATCCCTCTAAGGCAGAGGACAGGTGCTTTGAGCATCAGGTTGAGGGTTAGGGTCCATTAGGAACCTCAGATTGCATGTCTTGACTCTTCTCTCCTCATCACCTGGTAATAGTTTCCTTGCTGACTTCAGCCTTTGCAGTTGAACTTGACCTTGGGAATACAACTGGATTAGTGCTTTACCAATCCTACACTGACCTGAGCAAGGTCCTTCCTAGTCTACTGAATTAGTGGACTAATTGATAGATGTGACTAATTAGATTCCAGAGGCCAGTGGCAAGACTGAGCGGTTAGGGAATGGATTGACTTGGTCATCCTTCAGTTGGAAGGTATGAAATTTGTGGTATACATTGAAGGAACCTAGAGGGTTTGAAGTCACTACTGGGATACAGTGATCACCAGTCAAGCAAACAAAAGAGCTTAAACAACACAAAGACAAAACAGACATCAGCATGAATCCTTATCCATATATGGGAAACAATATAAACAATAAATGATTTAAAAATAAGTGATTATAAAAATAAGTGATTTGTGCTCTGAAGGAGATATATGTGGTAGTTATGAGAGCATGTATCCAGAGAGGCTTTTGTTGGTCCAGAGTTGGTTGAGTGGTCTGGATTCATGTTGAGTAGGAATGAAGGTGGCCAGGGTGACTGTCCCAACATCCAGGATTGTTCCATGTTCTTGGGTTGGGCTAGAGATGAGGATATAGATGAGGGAGCTGATGGTTCAGGGTATTTGGCAGGGCTTTGAGCAACTCTTGTGATGTCTTTTTGAGGGTTAGGTCAGAGAAGGCTCTTGTTTTATGCAAGGATATAAGGTACTGCAAGAAATTTTGGATTGCTTATCCCCAGAAGCATCTTGTGCTTTTGCTAGACTTCCTGCCCCACTAGGCCCTTCCAGATTTGCCTTATGGCCAGAGAGGAGAGCCCTTAGACTGAAGGGGCTGCTTGTCTCCTTGTTCTGGTAAAGGATACGATGGATTGCTGCTGGGCCTTGCAGCCAGGGAGACTGACCTTGGTCAGCTGTGGTTTTCTCCAGTGCTGGGCTGTCTGAAGGTCACCTGGTAGCATCTGTTGATGTCAGGGAAGAGATCTGTCTAGGCTGGTCCATTCAGGAAACAGGTTTACTCCGATCTGTCATCCTTGTGGTACATAGCATTTACTTTGCCATTCTTGGCTTGAGATTGTTCAGGCCATTTCTTGACCACAAGTGGGAATCTGGGAAGAGAAGTGCTGGGCCAGCTTGGCAGGTTTCCAGGCGGTGCATTGATCTGCAGTGTCCTGCTCTTTGGTGGGCAGTAGGGACCTGATCAGAGTACTATGTGCCTTGGAGCTGTTCCTCAAAGGCCATGTTGGTGACCAGATGCTCCCAGACCCTTTGCTCTGTCAGGGTGAGCCAACACAGGTATAAAAGGGCTCAGATCTGCTGAGACTGGACAGCTCCAATAGTCTGGGTGCCCTGGCATTGGGTCATGGTATACAGGGATTAGGGCAGAGAGGGAGGCTGGCTTCGTTTACCCAGTTGCCATCCTGGCTGCTGCCATTTTATTTTTATTTAAAGTAAAAAGGAGTTAAGTGATCGTGGTGACAGTATGAGGTAGGGGTAGTAAGTAAACAGACTAAGGATGTGCAACTCCCCCAAAGCCTGCATTCTTGAATCCTGCCAGAAAGATGCTCAACTAATGCCCTTGACATTGTTCTGAAGGGTGAAAAGTTGTTCTGGAAAAAGGTGAAAGGTAACCCTTTTCTAAATGAGTATCAGAGTCTGGGCATCAGAATCACCTATATAATTCCTAGACCTCCAAACCAGAGATTCTGATTTGATAGGTCTGAGGCCCAAGAAGCTGTTTTCATTTTCTAAGTGATTCTAATTTTCAGCCAGATTTGGGAACCGGCCCAGCAGGGACAGATCCAGAGATGCGTCCTTGTTAACTTGTACAGACCTTGACCCTGAACCCTAACCATGGCTGTGTATCTGGTCTTCATTCCTCTTTTTGTCCCTTTCGAAAAGCTTGTCTTTCGGGGATGCTGCCCTGGCTTTGCCACACCTGGATCAGGGCTGGAGGCTCCTCTCTTTCTTATCCGTGAAGAAAGGGGGACCTACACTTGGGCATTTTTTTTCTTCTTTTTCATTGGAGGATAATTGCCTTGCAATATTGTATTGGCCTCTGCCATACATCAGCATGACTTGGCCATAGGCATACCTGTGTTCCTTCCCTCCTGAACTCCCCTCCCATGTCCCTCCCCACCCCTCCCCTCTCGGCTGTCACAGGGCACTGGGTTGACCTCCCTGTGTCCACAGCAAATTCCCACTGGCTGTTTACATAGGGTGTATTTACATATTTACATATGGTGAGGTATGTGTCTCCGTGCTCTTCTCTCCAATCATCCCACCCTCTCCTTCCTGCACTGTGTTCACAAGTCTGTTCTCTATGTCTGTGTCTCCACTGCTGCCCTGCAAATACTTGGGCATTTTGATGGACAGATATTTTGGAACGCTTTCTCACAAAACTTGCTGCCTGAGTCTCGACTGCATAGTAGATTCTGGCTGTAGAAATCCAGGTCTTGAGGTAGAGACAGGACCATCCTGTGATGGCACAGGGAAAAATCTGTTTACTGTCTTCTCAGACATCATGGAAGCTCTGGAAATACAGGAAGGTTGAGTGTTTCTACCCCTTTGTTTCTAGGGTCTTGCAGACTCTGGGACAGCATTGATTGCCCTCAGGGAGCGACAGATGGGCATTGCCTGGGAGCGGGGCTGAAATTAGTGGCATTTTTGATCTGGCCACTTGGCAAGGTCAACTTTCAAGAGTGTACCTGTGGGCTGTGCATCAAGTCTTGATAGATGCTCGGTCAGGTGGCATAAGGTGGAGTTTTTTGAGACCTGTAAGATAAGGTCTGGACAGTATAAATCGAAGGGGCTGTTCATAATTTTTGCTCCAGCCCACACTGTCCCTGTCAGTCCCACCTTCCCTTGGTTCGCCCCCTGCCTGCCACACTCCGATTCCTGCTTCAGGCTTTCCGCTGACCCCCGGCTATGTTAGGATGCATCTCTTCCCCTCAGTTGCACTAGGAGCTCCTATTCAGGGCTCCCATCCACCTGCGCCTCCCCAGATCTTTACACTCACCTGTTGTTTTAGAAGTCTTTGAGTGCCTGAATCTCTTGCCCAGACAGAGCCTCTTCATGTATCCATCACCTCGCCTGCTGCCTGGAGTGTAATAGGACTCAGTAAATACCTGCTGAGTGAGAGAGTCAATACATTCTTTGAGGGGATGATATAAATAACTCCCTTTGTGACCTTATAGTTGAACATTGTTCATTTATTACAGTGCCTGTACCTGTATGTCAGCTTATCGATAGCCTTGTATTCTAGATGCATATTCAGGGACATTTTTCTAGCATAAAGAGTGTTTCAGACAGTTTGGAACGTTACCCGAGCACTTTTGAAGTAGCCAATTCATGGTATTTGTGAGAACTACTTCTGTACTTAAAGCAGCACAATTTTATTGAAAATGTCACATTAGGAAACAGGCCCGTAGGGAACCTGATATAACTTACTCTTATATTCTTTGGCAAATAAAGGTATGGCAAGCATTTTAGTACAGAGCAGGTTGGCTACTTCAACTGTTTCCTTAAATTGAGTATTTAGCTTTGAGAGAAACACATACATAACCCTGTGTGTATGTGTGTGTATATATATATATAAAATTTTTTAAAAATTGACTTTTTGCTTTGTAATAGAAGACTGCTGTGCAGGGGGGCATAGTGAAAGTCCTGGGTTGAACCTCAGTTCTAGAGACAGAGCCAGTTTTAACTGTGGGAGTAGGTAAGTCAGTTTCTTGCTTTCACTTACGTAAAATGGGAGTGGTATTCTTGTTCAGGGGTTGCAAACATCTACAGAAATGAGGTCATATAACTTAAGTTGCTGTATGTGCTTATACCTTTTTTCCCCCTCTTAGAGCTCACCCCCTTAGAACAAAATTTTCCACTTTTGTTAGAATCATAGGGAGAGGGAAATATTTCTGTATCTTGAACAAAATAACACAAGGACAGTGATCACCCCAGCTTTTGTTTGTGTTGAGACGATAGGGAGCGATAGGGACTGTGGCATATTGGAATAGCCAAGCCTGCCTATGAAGGGGGCAGCTGTTTCTTAGCACCAGCTGATTATTTTAAGACATGAACAGGGGCCATGTTGACAGATCCTCTCTTTCTTGAAAAGAGAAGTGAGAAATCTGGGATTTTATGTGACAGTTCTTGATTTTTAGGTTTTTGGCTCAAATTTTCTAAACATATCCTGCAGATTACTATAATACCTCTACAGGCTAGAGGTGACCACTTGGCATCTGTCCTAGATGGTCTCAGGAGCTTCTTTCAGCCTGAGATCCATTGATTCTCATGGGACCTTTTCAGCCAGTGAACTAAAGATTTGGCTTTCTACTAGGGGAGGTCAGGGTGAGAAGGAAGTGGGGCTGGAAGATGAGGAAGGAGACTTTGAGTCTAAGCAGGGTGCCTAGCCATTGGCATTGGGAAGGCCTCCTTGGAGAGAGGCCACAGGTTGCCTGATTCAGATGTCTTGTATGTTTGTCATTGCAGGAGTGGCATTTGTTGGAAGAGTTTGTGAGACCTTCTCCCTGCTCAGAGCCCCAGGACCAATGCATCTTTCCAGCACCTTACACCACTGGTGAATATGTGTTTTATTTTATTTGTTGCTGCTGCTGCTACAATGGAGGGACATATTTTCAGTGGACTATAGAATGGGATTTTCAGAGAACCATGCTGTGTTTTCTGTCATAGAAGGAAGGAAACTGGGATTGGCCTAGGCATATATGAGTTCTGCTACCTACTTGGTTCTGCTATTTATTGTGCATTTTTTGACCTCCCTGGGCCTGCAGACAGTGAAATGACTCCTGCTCTGCTAAAAGATTATGTGAGAATGCTTCCAAGGGAATAAAATGCTGAGCAAATATGGAGTAATCCTATTTGGTTCTGAGATGTAGAGCAGGGTGATTCTGTGCTAACAAGTTGAGAAGTGAACGCGTATGTTAGACACGGATTTTTAAACACATATTTTGAGTCCTCCAGAGTGGTTCTTCAAGGGATTTGCATTTTCATTTTTTTCCTTCCTACCACTCCAGCTGCCATTTTTAAGAAAGATAAATTAACTCTGTTTCACAATTACCTTCATTTTTATTTGCCATCAGATAATTTCACAGTTAACAAATGTTCTTCCGCTTTCCAAAAGAAACTTAATTACTCATCACAGCAGGTAAATGTCTTGCATCTGTGGCAGCTGAAAGAGGCAAAAATATGTCCTTAACACCAGTGTGTTCTAATGCTAAGAGTGCTTGGAGGCATACTAGCTAGTTGATGGTGAAGGTCTCATGTGAGTTCTGAGTTGGGGGGACCATGAGCCAGGAAGGCAATATGACCCATGTGTCTTGATTCCAGCCATTCTTTATTGATTGAGAGAAGCTGGTTTGTTTGCTGCTGACTACCTGGTCCACTCCTAACTAGGTGAATCAGATGCTCTTATGACCCAGTGAGACATGACCTGAAGGCATGGCCACCTGGGGACTATGCAGGTTGCTGGGGTGGGGTGGGAAAGAAGGGCAGTTGGTCAGGCCCAAGGTTAGGGACCCAGCTGAAACATGGGAGGCTGACTGTCTCCATTACTGTGCCTAAAGGGTCACAGTGGACATTCTGGCTTCCTCAGAGTCCCATCTTTTAGGAAGAGGTCTATGGTGGAGTCCTCATGGAAGCAGGTGGTCTCAGGTGGGTGGGACACTTCCTCTGTTCAGTAAACATGTATGAATGCCCACTCTGTGCCAAGGCACTGCTCTGGGCACTGGAGACTCAGAGGACTGAAGCTTGGATTTAAGTGGGGTGACAAGAATGTGACCTCCATGAGGGCAGGGATCTTATTCACTGCTCTCTACCCAGCTCCTAGAAGAGCACCTTGCCCATAAATGTGGTGGGTGCTCATGAATAAGTGTTTTGTGAATGAAGGAAATAACTAAATAGATAATAAAATTTCAGGGAGTGATAAGTGCTATAAAAGAAGAGAGGAGTTCTTTTTAACATCAAAAGCATTTTGTATTGGGGTATAGCCAATGAACAATTTTGTGATAGTTTCAGGTGAACTGTGAAGGGACTCAATCATACATGTGCATGTATCCATTCTTCCCCAGACCTGAGGGGTTCCTTTTGAAAGAGGTCTGAGAAGGTCTTTGTTTGGAGAGGGGTGGGTAGAAACTGAGTGCAGCGATCTGAATGTAGTGAAGGAATCTGGGGAGAAGTGGTTAGCAGAGGAAACAGAAGGCAAAAAGAAAGGCCTTGGTGTAGGCTGAGCTTGGCAGGATAGAGCGACAGGAAGGCAGCCAGTCTGGCTGGCCTTGAGCTGGGGAGTGGTTATGGGGAGCAGAGTGATATGAAATGAGGTCAGTGGTAGATCTTGTAGGCATGATAAGGAGTTGAGATTTACTCCAAAACCTTGTGTGTAATTGGATACCTTTTGAGAAGTTTGAATAAAATAGTGATATGATCTTCTTTGAGCTTTAAAATTATTTCTCTGGGTTCTGAATGGAGAACAGACTTCTGGGGGCAAGAATAGAATCGGTGTGACCTGTAGGTGGCCCTTCTGGTCTAGGCAAGAGATAAGGGCATGGCTTGGATTAACATGGTGAATATAAAATGATGTGATCTAGTCAAGCTCAGGGTATATTTTGAAGGTAGAACTTGCTGGATTGATTATGTGGTATGAGCAAAAAGGAAAGTGGGTAAGTCCAGTGTTTTTGGCTAGGTGAATGGTATTGTTATTTACTAAGATGGGGAACAGAGAAGGAGGTTTGGGGAGGACCCTGAGAGTTTCATTTGGGCATATTAAGTTTGAGATGCCCATTCAATATTCATAGAGATTTAGAAATTCAGAGTTGGCTGGAGCTGGAAATGTACCTTTGAAAGTCATCAGCATGTAGATGGTATTTGAAGCTATGAGACTGGAGATGATGATTCAGGGAGAGAAAGAAGGGATAGGTAGAATTTGGACAAAGAAAAAGGCAAAGTGTTGATTTTCCATATAAAATTCCTACTAAGATGTGAATGAAGACACATCTGTAATGAATAAGGGATTTGTTCAGTCGCCAAGTCATGTCTGACTGTTAGCTACGCCATGGGCGGCAGCATGCCATGCTTCCCTGTCCTGCCCCGCACCATCTCGCAGAATTTGCCCAAGTTTGTGTCCATTGAACTAGTGATGCCATCCAACCATCTCATCCTCTTGTCACCCTCTTCTCCTTCTGCTTTCTATCTTTCCCAGCATCAGGGTATAAACTGCTGAATAAGGGATAAGTTCATGTAATACAAATATAAATGATTCAAGTGAGATGACATGAAAATAGTAATAAAGCCTCACCTTATGTTTTTTTTTTTAAATGGAAATACTGTGACTCCTCCAAATCAAGAAAATTAGTTTTAGAATTGCATGCTTTAAAATCTAGCCAGCTGAGTGAATTATAAACTGCATTTATGCAAGTGGCACATGGCTGTCTTTGGCTAGCAAGCAGAAGGATCAGCATCCTTTGCCAGTAATAGCCTGTAAGTTACACTGTTCTTTACATGCACTAGAACTTTTACAAGCTATTTTGATGAAGTTTAATTCACTGTTAGTTAATACATTGCAAATTTTTTTCATTCTCTGATCACACACAAAATTTTATTAAATGAAGGTTTGCTAAATGGAAAACAGTCCCTGAAAATCAGTAATTTGGCAGTGAACGTTGTGATACAATTTTATGAAAAAGCCAAACAGACAACCTTGATTTGCAGGACCACAATTTATGAAATATTTTGATATCTTTGAAATACCAAAGATAAATGCTACAAGATAATAAAGCAGCAAAAATAGACAGTGATGGTTGTAGTAGATGTATGTGTTTCAGGACCACCCATACACCTTTAATCATCAGCCACTGATATGAGAAGATTATTTTTTGAGCAAACACATTTTCCATTTTCATCTATTTATGGGTTTCTGGCACAGAATACAGCTCTGTATTGGTTTTGCCCCCTTCCCAGAGAAAACACCCCACTGAGCTTCCTGCATATTATCCCTGGACTCCTTGATTTTTCTGTTTCCACGTTACCTGGGAAATTTCTTTAGTCTGGTTATCTCCAGCCCCCAGAGGCACTTTCGCCCCCTTCCCAAAGTTACCAACTCAAAGCCTGTCTGCCTCCTCCCTCTCCCAGGTGTAGGGTCCCACTGTCTCTGGCTGCCCTGTGAGTCTCAGGTTAGCCCTCCCCAGATATTCTTGGATACTTTCAAGATTTTCTTCTTAAAACATTTCCACTTTTTCTCCAGGCTTGGTTTTTTGTCTTTTTTTTTTTTTTAAAGCCTTTTGTGCAAATGACAAAAGCATGGAAAACTGTGCAGCTGTTGAGGGCAGTGGGCTAAGCAGCATGCTGAAATGTGCTGTTTCAAATTGCCCAGGGTAATGGGCATCTGTCACATGCTTTTCCATGTATCTCAAGACCCTTGTGTTTTGGTGAAAATGTTCTCAGTGAGACTTAGGGAATATCTAATCTCTGGAAAATGAGCATTTATTGGGTAGCGTTCTATATCTGAAACCACTGATTTATGGTAAAATGAAGGTTTCAGTGGAATGTTCATGACGATTGATAGCAACCCTGGTTTTCACTTGTCATCTTTGCTCAGAGTGGAACCTAAATAAGATTAAAAAGAATGAAGCGTCCTGGCAGTCACAGGGTGAGGATTTCTCCTGTTTGCTTTTTAGTAAGTGGTTTTAGGAATGAGGAGAAAAAAAAAATTTGGTACCTTCCCATGCCCCCAGAGACTTGAGTGGTGGGACATTTAAAAATGGTACTATCTGCCTTATGTTTTTTTTTTTTAAATCCAGGTGTGCAGAATAGTGCTTCATTGCTCATGTGCATATGGGCCATCTTAGAAGGAGCTGTTGGAGATGAGTAACCTTGGAGGGGGGCAGTGGTATATGAAGGGAACTTACTTTTCAGTCTCCACCCTTTTGTCCTAAATCTTTTGGTTTATGTATTACCTTTCAAAAGAATAATAGTACTTCTTCTTGGCTTAACAAATGACCTAGAAAAATCTAAATTTCCTTCACTACTTGTTTTTATCGGGACTCTTGCTTGATGTGTATGTTGACCAAGGTCATTGTTGGTTTAATCTCCATTGCCTTTATTTGTTGTAAGGCTTCATGTTCATCAGCAACTTGGTGTGAGGCTTTGGGAAGAAATTTTCCTTAACTGTTCTAGGTCCTTCTGACTGGTCTAAGATTTGAATTGACATCAGATAGATTAACAGGAGAAAACTAAACAGAAGTGTAACAACCTGTATGCAAGGGAGAGACCCAGGAAAACTCAAGTAACTCCCTCAAGTGTCCAACACTAGCTTTCAATATTATCCTTAGCTAAAGATAAAAGAGGATGAGAGTCAGTTATGGGAGGTGACCAGGAAAAGGACTGTAAGCTAAGGTAAGGTTATTATGTAGATTAATCATCATTTTATCCATTGATAAGAGTTTCTAGAGGTCTGATCATCCTCCTCTACCTGGTACAGCCAGGGAGACACCCTTACAAGTGAAGATTTACCTGTAAGTGTTTCTTCTAAAAGGGTCACTTCTGTTTGGTTTTCAGAATTTTTCCCAT